GTTGTTGCTGGTGATGATGATGTTTTGGTGTTGTTGTTGTTGTCTTTTTTTTTTATCTGTATGTTTATTTTTGGTCTCATATCGATGGCCTTAAACGTTTGACTAAGAGAACCAGATAGACCTACATTTTTTTTATTTTTTCTTCGAAAACCATTGACGGGGTTGGTCTGTGAGTACTCAATATAAAAAAAACAGGAGTCCGAGAGCACTGTGAATGGTACAAACGTACTGTAGACTATTTTTTATGTTTTCTCTGAACTCTCATGACTGAACTCAGAAGGGTTTAGTTTTTTGGGGGTGTGTTTGTTTTTCTAATTTTCTTTCGTTTCGTTTTGTTTCGTTTTTGATTTATTGGGGTAACTGTCACCAAAACAATCAAACAAACTAAATGAAATATCAAACAAATAAGCAACAAAACAAACAGCCAACCAACAACAAAAAAACAATCAAATACTAAAATAAACAACAACAAATAACAAACACGCAGCAAACAACCAAACAACCAACCAAAAACAAAAAATAAACAATAACTAATATGAAGCAAACAAACAAACAAACAAACAAACAAACAAAGAAACAAACAAGCCAAACAGACAACAACTTACGGACAGTTTCCCCTGTCTCTATTGGCCAAGACCCTGGACCGCCCCAGGGCAGCCATGGAAGCGGCGTAAATCTGTGCGAGACAGTCACTGTAGATAAGTCGGTAGTTGACACTCAGGGAGCACCGAACGTCAGCCAGGGACAGGACAACTGGATGGAATTTGTGTCACAGTATTATACATATTATAAAGAATGTATTACATAATGGGTTATGGTGGGAGATCATGATTTATCCAACGAGTGAAATAGTAAAATTGCAATCCTGGGTTTCAACGAGAAATTACAATTGGCAATTATTTTACTAATAAGATAAACCATGATCTTACGAAAAATTACAATTGGCAATTATTTCACTAATAAGATAAACCATGATCTACCACCATGACGAGAGTAATAAACGTGTTATACCATTCTAAAGATATTTAGCTGACGAAACAAATCGGGATCAACCAAGTTTCAATAACTAGTCTAGTGGCCAAAGTGGCCCTGTTAAAAAGTCTTACATAATAACAGAATTTCCATGCTCAAACTGAGGATTCGAAAAAGTCAGGATTTTTTGTTCCAAGCTTAGCCACACTAATTACATATTGGTATGCTATCCGTATGTCTCCCTCCGCGAAATAAACCCCAGACAAAACAATAATAACATTAACATAAGCATCGCAAGCAGAAAATGTACGATTCAAAATTTTAAAGATTGAGAAACTGCATTTATACGGCATGCTGTCGTTAGAATAGATAGAAATGACTTTGATTTTGATTTTACACTTGGCAATTAAAACAAACCAAAGGCTAGGGGTTGTCTGTAAGCGTAGACCTAAGCATTGAAATACACTGAACAATGAAAAAAGGCAGCAACGAAAGCTCTCAAGTTTTATAGAATTTAATGTGCTGAATCCAAACGTAGTTAGCTTGGTCAGATATTTGCAGAATTCACATATTTAACTTTAGGTATTCTTGATTTTGTCAGGGGAGACAAAAATTACAGGCTCTATTAAACAAGGGAAGTAGCTTTTGTTATTTCAAGAAAAGTAATTGACCAGTTTGACCAATGTATTATTAGGCTGGGCAGACTTTACAAGAGATGAGGTAAATGGCGATTTTGGTTTCACAAGTGATGCTGTGGGAAAGTTACTTTTAAAAAATGGGTGTCTGTTTAAGTCTGTCATTGGCCTCTGGTGACGCCTGTCTGTCTGTTATCTAACTAAATCTGTCATTGACCTTGACCTCTGTCTGTCTGATATCTGGCTAAATTTGTCACTGATCTTTGTCGTATATTATCAAATTAAATATGTCATGGACCTTGACCTATGTCCGTGCGATACCTGGCTAAATCTATCACAGATCTTGACCTCTGTCTGTCTGTTATCTGGCTAAGTCTGTCATTGACCTCTGTCCGTCCGATATCTGACTAAATCTGCCTTAAACATCTATATGTATGATGTCTGGCTAAATCTGTCACTGGTCTCACGTGGTCTCCGTTCCGCAGCACAGAGGTACGTGTGGTATGGTCTTCCAGTTTCAGTGAAGTGAGGAACTGAAGAGTCCGTCTCACACTGCATGGCCCCAGGGTCGCTCTCAACGCAGTCCAAAGCCTCGCCCAAGATCCTGCAGAAAAATGAGTGGGCTTTTGATTTTCCCAAGCTGTAGTTGGAGTCACAAGTGATTTTTGTTGTTGTTGTTCTTATTGTTGTTATTGTTGTTGTTGTTGTCATTGTTGTTGTTGTTGTTGTTGTTTTGTTTGGTTTTGTTTTTGGGGGTGTTATTTTTTATTTATTCTTGTTTTTTGTTGTTGTTTTTTGTTTTTGTTTTTTGTTTTGTTGCTTTTCTTTTGGGGGTGAGTGGACTTTTGGGTTTTCTTTTCAGTAGTTGAAATCACAAGTGATTATTTTTTTAATATTTGTGAATGTTCTGTTTGTGTAAGTAAATTTACGCTCATATCTCATGAAATCATAAACTTTGACAATTAATTGTCTCATCAAATTTGAGGCAAAAAACAAGGAAGTTATAAAGACATTTTTAAAGTGTTTGTTGGCATAGAAATTTCGTTCTCCCGACATTCGGGAAAAAATGTCTTGTTTTCAAACTTTGGATAGACAAAATCGAAGTAGCAACAATTCGAATAATTACATCATAAAATTCTACACATGAATGATACACATGAAGTTTGTGAATCTTAACTTTCAATTAATAGGATGCATGTGTTGCATCACCAGATTAGACACCTATCGTGTTCTTTTCAAATTAACCAAACACACACACACACACACACACACACACACACACACACACACACACACACACACACACACACACATACACACACACACACGCACACAAAGAGAGAGAGAGAGAGAGAGAGAGAGAGAGAGAGAGAGAGTGAGAGAGAGAGAAAGAGAGATAGAGAGATAAATGATGATAACAATAATGATGATGACAACGAGAGTAATAATAATAATAATAATAATAATAATAATAATAATAATAATAATAATAATAATAATGATACAATATTAAAGATAATAATAATAATGATGATGATGATGATGATGATGATGATGATGATGATGATGATGATGATGATGATGATGATGATGATAATAATAATAATAATAATAACAATAATAATAATAATAATAATAACAATAATGATGATGATGATGATGATGATGATGATGATGATGATGATGATGATGATGATGATGATGATGATGATGATTCACTGGCAAAATGCATCCAAGTTCTCGGCTGTGACCCCCAGGGGCTGGCCTATCTTCATCCTCCTCCACACATTTAGAGGGGCTTGAAAGTCATAGAACGTTCTCGCGCACTGGTTCATCTGATAGTCAGAAGGCGAAAGATGAGAAAAGGAAGAGAAGAAAGCTTTTAGCCTATTTGAAATTCACTGTAAAACATATAGCATACTGTACTTTTTGTGTCATTGAAAAGCGATTGGCTATTTTGTTTCCTTATTGTTATTATTTTGCTAATAATAGTATTGTTTTTACTATTACTGTTAGTAGACTACTACTACTACTACTACTACTACTACTACTACTACTACTACTACTACTACTAGTGGCGTCGGTGGCCTAGTGGTTAGGCTCTCGGACTCGCAACCGTAAGGTCGTGGGTTCGTATCCTGTCAGGGACCCGACGTTGTGTCCTTGGGAAAGGCACTTTACACGAGTTTTCCTCACTTCACCCAGGTGGGAATGGGTACCCAGCTATAGACAGTGAAAGATCTTGTCAGTTTGTTAGTGTTTGAGCGCTTAAACAGCTGCTTGCACTGTATGCTTCCCGGGAAGCTGAGAATGTTTCTGAGTGTTCTATGGTCTGCTGGGGTAATAATTTAGTGTAAAGCGCATAGAGCTTGCTGTCGAGCGGGGTTATGCGCTATACAGATGCTATTTATTATTATTATTATTATTATTATTACTACTACTACTACTACTACTACTACTACTAACTACTACTACTACTACTACTACTACTACTACTACTACTACTACTACTACTACTGCTGCTGCTGCTGCTGCTGCTGCTGCTGCTGCTACTACAATTTTTACAAAGTAGGCCTTGTGCAGTTGGGGTGAGGTTGGTGGGGTTGAGGGGGGGGGGTACTGTAGTTTTGTTTAGGCTTTTTAAAACACTTAATACGAGTGGTTGCGTCTATTTGAAGGACGCATCAAAGTGACCACCCTGTGTTGCAAGCCTGCAGTCCGGTAACTGGACATTCACCCTGTCCTGCAAGTTTTATTCTCTCTTTGCTGGATCCGAGTAATATGGTTATGGGTAGGAGTAGGAGTCGGGGGGACTTAAGGATTATCTAGAACATGTACTAGGATCAAACTGCTGCAATGAGAATAGAAAACGATATCAGCGAATACATACAGATTAAAAGAGGAGTCAGACAGGGATGTGTACTTTCTCCAGACTTGTTCTCCCAGTATAGTGAAAATATCATGAGACACATAGAAGAAACGCTAGGTATCTCGATAGGGGGACATAATATAAACAATCTAAGATATGCAGACGACACAGTCCTAATAGTAGAAGTTGAAGAACACCTGCAGAATCTATTACATGTCATCGTACAAGAGAGTGACAACATGGGCTTAAGCCTGAAAAAAACACACGAAACAATGGTGATAAGCAGAAAAACTCCAACCCCAATATGCAATATCAAAATCATGCATTCTGTTTTCTTCATTCAACAATAATCCTTTACGTTCACTTTCTGTTACGTTTTTTTTTCACCAAACTTTGCTCTCTCTCTCTCTCTCTCTCTCTCTCTCTCTCTCTCTCTCTCTCTCTCTCTCTCTCTCTCTCTCTCTCTCTCTCTCTCTCTCTCTCTCTCTCTCTCTCTCTCTCTCTCTCTCTCCTGCAATATCACTTTCCCTTTTAGTTTTACTCCAACCTTAGCTGAATACGTCCCCCATACCCTCCCTTTATACCATACGTAGCTGACCCCCCCCCCCCCCAAAAAAAAGATAAAAATACCCCTCTTCTCCCAACCTTGCTTGACCACAAACACACTCCCACCCCTATTCCCCTTATCCTTCCCACCACACCCCCTCTGCTCACCGTATCACAGCCAGGACTAGTTTCGTCCCTCCGAGTTCTCCTCCTTGTCTCTTCCTGGAAGAGTTGTCCTTCCCATGAGGACGTCTGAAAGCCTGAAAGATGACAGGGTTAAAAGATTAGGACACACACGCGCGCCCGCACAGGCACAAACACAGTATCAGTATTATGTGTGTGTGTACTGTGTGCGTGTGTGTTTGTGTGTGTGTGTGTGTGTGTGTGTGTGTGTGTGTGTGTGTGTGTGTGTGTGTGTGTGTGTGTGTGTGTGCCTGCGTGGGTATTATTATAGTAGTAGCCAGTAAATAAACATATAATATTATTATTGCGTTGAATTTAGACAAATGATAATACGTGTAGTTACATGCTCAGTGTCAAATTTTGGAACAAATTAATATTGACGTTTTTCCATTCCCAGAATGCCATGTAATTTTAATCTTAAGATGGACGCATAGAAAGCCTGTAGTGACTTACATTAGGGCACTGTAAATTTACGTTACTTCTCCGCGTTCCCGTGGGCATCTTTATCATTTAGGAGCATGGTTGCACCAGCTTAGTTTGTCAGGACCAACCCCAATTTTTAATAGAGTGGTACACTCAATAAGGAATATTTTTATGTCTGCTCTGTTAAAGAATCAAACTCGCGTCTTCTAGGACTATGGTTAGCACGGTACCAAACTCAACACGCAAAATAACATAACAGCAGCAACAACAGCAAGAAGAAGAAGAAGAAGAAGAAGAAGAAGAAGAAGAAGAAGAAGAAGAAGAACAAGAACAAGAACAAGAACAAGAACAAGAACAAGAAGAACAAGAAGAACAAGAACAAGAACAAGAACAAGAACAAGAACAAGAACTAGAAGAATAGTAATCATCTTACCTCTGACCACAGAGAGGCTTACAAGAACAACCGCAAAGAACCTCATCGAAATAGAAGTCATTCTCATAGGTCTTGAGGTATGTGCCTTCCACTGAAATGGGATCAACATTCGAAACAGATTTGGGGGAGGGGGTGTGCTTAAGTTAAAGTAGTTTTAGTTTTAATAAGCTTTTTACGTCCCATGCAGAACAATAAGGTCCTATAAATGCCGAAGATGAGAGGTGTTACAAGAGAGTAACAAGCACACAAGATGGAGGAGCAGGTCGATAGATGCTTGATAGGAAGGAAGAAGCAAACCACACCAGAACACCCGCCAACCAGCCATTGTGTAGATCAACGTAAGTTCAAAACATTCCTCTGGGGACTTGGAAACATTCTAGGGTCCATCTCCAAAAGATTATCTCTTTTTTTCTGCTTGCGACGCATATTAGATCATTTACGAGGCAGGTCGCTCTCACCTGGGCTATCAGAATCAACGGGTCTGAGCGGGAAATGCCCAACTGAATCACATAGATACTGGATAAGGTAGACTTCCCTCCATAGGAACTAAACTCTGGTCTGTTGTGCGCAACAGCGAAGACACTGCCCGGAAGACTTTGTTATGCCTTTCTTACTGGTGGTTTATACGAGTTTCATATTTCGCCATTCATATTTTCTCCGCTAAGCTGCTTTAAATTTATTACTTTTTATCACCCACATTACCCTGGTATGTAACCCTGTTACCCCGACGCCCGTCCGTTATGTTTGTCTGTTATAATATTATCAGACCTAATAATATGTCACTGGCGATAGCATGGTGCGGTGACATTTGCAATTTGTTTTGTTTTTTGTGTTGCTTGAAAGACCACCATTGTGCCGCTGAGGCTTGAAATTGAGAAATAGCCTTCGCCTTTTTTTGTGCAGTACAAACAGAAACGACGACCTGCTGCTTCTGAGCGAATAGAGGCATGAACAGATGGGTGGAAAGATGAGGGGATGTAGGGATCACGCAAGTAATAAGAATGTTTTAACGTAAAGCATAACCCAACCTGTTTTATTTCTGCAACTTGTTGTTATTGTTGTTGTTGTCGTTGGTGGTGATGGTGGTGGTATTTTTGTTTTTGTTGCTTTTTGTTGTTGTCTTGTCGTTTTTGCTATTGTTTCTGTTGCTGTTGTTGTTGCTGTTGTCTTGTTGTTGTTGCTGTTGTTGCTGTTGTTGCTGTAGTTGCTGTTGTTGTTAATGTTGTTGATGTGTTTGTTTTTTTAGGAGGCGGAAGAGGATTGGGGGGGGGGGTGATCTCTGAATCAGGCGCCAAGAGAAAGGTGGAAGGTGTTTGTCCGTGGCCTATAGATCTACCCTGGTGAGAGAGGCAATGATGATGAAGACCATCATTTAGTCAAACAAGCCAATTGTTTCATGTAGATCTATAATGTTCATGTATACCCAACTTCCACATATTATGTATCTGTGTGTGTTCGTTAGTCACACGATCACTTTGCAAAACCTAAGCGGCCGCGTTCATATCACGATGTTGACCGCACTTAGGGAACACGGCCGCGCTAAGGGTACTGAAACGGCCGTGGTCAGGATCCAAGGCCATAGTGTGGAGCTTGAGATGAGACGAAAAATAATTGGCGTCTTCTCATTTGTGAAGGCAAAGTCTTTTCTCCTGGCATTCCACATAATTTGCTTTTGGCCAGTTTTGACCTGCATTTCCATTACACATATTACGTTTCTTTCAGTATAAATCTTTTTTATCATTCTGTTCTATAATAAGTGCCTGTGTGCCGTAATCGATAATTATTTGGGTGTGTGAAGATGCACGTTTTTATTGGAGAGAGAGAGAGAGAGAGAGAGAGAGAGAGAGAGAGAGAGAGAGAGAGAGAGAGAGAGAGAGAGAGAGAGAGAGAGAGAGAGAGAGAGAGAGCCCAGAGGAAGGTAGAAGTGTGAGTGAGGAGGGGGGGGGCAGAAATTGGAAATGAAAGCAGGTGAAAGAACTTGACTAGATTACTGGAAAGGAAGTGAATTAAGAGAATATGTTTTTAGAAGAACATTAATTTATGTCGCTGTCACGTTTTGAAGCTGGGACATATTGAATGTGAGGCGAACACTGAGCCAAAAAACAAAATGGAAATGAGCCAAATTTATTACTTATTGCTATAAATAAATAGCATTTGTTTGACACAAGTTCTAGCTCAACGGCACCCTCTGTCTGTGTCCTTTACAATCTGAGGGTATTTTCCATCCTTCGGCCTGTACACCAGTGAAATCCTTTGTAAGGGACAAAACTTTGCTGAAGTGCTGTATTTGTAACTTATTACCTACAGTTCCTTCCCCTGGTAAATCTGAATACGTTTTTCGGAGAATCTAGGTGTGCTTTCTAAATTAATATCCCGTGACCGTTTAAGGTGGGTTGACGTCGTTCTTTTTCAACCCTTAAAGAGGATATAGGCCAAACAAGCATATTATGTGATTTGGTGTTGTCTCTTTTCAAAGCAATGGTGAATTACATGGGTCACGGATAGGACGGCCTGCTTTACCAGGTTGAATAATTAACTCGCTGTGAGTACTAGATGTCATACGAGCACTCGTTTACTTATCTTGAAGGGTTGATATTTTTTTTACCCTATTGTGGTAGGATATAGGCCTATTTTATGGTAGGCCTACTGCTTGAAGCTTGGGTGTCATTCCCAGCCATCAAAAGTGTGATGATCAACTTTGGAACTTTGAATGCTTGAACAGTGAAACAGATATTCTGCTTCTGTTTGTCATTTATTCTTGGGGTATGTTTATCTTTGTGTGTGTTTGTTATGCATTCTTGTTTTTGTTTATTAAAGGAATGCTTTGCGCCTTGTAGCCTAGGCTAGTTTATTTAGAATCTAGATCTAGATCTAGTAGGAAGACGCTGAAAAACTCTGGCAAGCCTACCTGGCAATGTAAGCAAAACAACCAGTGATCATGGCTGACATCGACGTGGAAGACGAAAACATTCTTACAACAATATTTAAAGATTCCTTTCCAGGTTTGTCATGTGAACAATTTCTGGTGTTTTCTGGGTTGGATTGGAACTGAGTTATTGCATACAGGGTTCTGTCGATTCTTTTTCTACAATTGTAATGCGATACCTTAGACTCTCTGACGGCCTGAGGCTGAGGGTTGAGACACTTGGAGACCTTGCTTGAAAGCCGGTCACCGACTGCTAGAGATCTAGATCTAGATCTAGATCTAGATCTAGATTCTAGATGTAGATCATCTAGATATCGAGATCTAGATCTAGAATCTAGTCAGTGATAGTAGAAAGTAGAGTGGCGAGCCTCAGCAGTCGAGGACAGATGCGGGGGGCACCAGAAAGGCTGGTGATTAGGTTGGGCATTCTTTTTGCAAAGTGACTATTTCTCTGAATGTTCGGAGAAATAGTGCCAATCTTTATTTCTCCTAACGGTTTCCGGCTTCCGGTCTCGTGATTTTTTGCCTATTTATTGCGAGAGTTCGGCGCCAACTTTCATTCTGCCTCTGGTCTGGGAAGGAACACCGCATGGCAAGCCCGCCTACAGTAGACAACCTTCAGTAACACCCACCACACACCCACCACCTTTATGCACATGTACACACACAAACTTATACACACACTAACTGTACATGATCTGTGGGCAACTTTTGAACGTATGACGCGGTGAGCTGTGGATGGGGAGACAGTGTGAGTGAAAGAGCGGGTGAAGAAAGGAAGAATGTGCGAGTGTATCCACAGGGAAAGTGGCTATTCTACCCTGGGTGAGAATAGAAATACAATCTACCTCTCTCACCCCGGGTGAGACTTGCCAGCGTAGGCTATTCTCCCCTGGTGTGAAACAAGACCTGTTTTTCCTCATTTTGGAATACTGTCTATCGGTGTGGATGATCAAATTGATAAAAGCCAAGAAAAAATTTCGTATAGCACAAAAGTAAGCGAATTTGATCGTCTTCAAAGATGCTATGGCTATTTCACTTTTCGAATAGAGCCGAACTACACGGGTCGCCATTTTGGTTTGCCCGGAAGTTCTCGCAAGATCTACTCCTCCTCTCTCTCTCTCTCTGTCTCTTTCTGAGTACTGTCTATCGGTGTGGACGATCAAATTGACCAAAACAAAGTTAAAAAATGATGTTAAACAAGAAAATTAAATTAATTTGGTTGTTTACAAAGATGCTATGGCTATAAATTAACTTTCCGAAACAAGCCGAACTACGCGAGTCACCATTTTGTTTTGCCCGGAAGTTCTCGCGCTACTCCTCTCTCTCTCTCTCTTTCTCTCTCTCCACTGCCCACAGACAAAATTGAACGCTTTTAGGCTAACACTAACAATAGTAATAGATCTAGAACGTTTGTTCACAGCACAGAATTCTATAATTCTGTTATCACAGTGTAGAAGTCTGTGGTTCAGGGTGAACGTTTCACTGGTTGGCCTAGGCTATAACGGTGAACGCCCACCGGGTGAGAATAGCCAAAAGACTCGCCTGCGCTATTCTCACCCGGGATGAGAATAGAGGTGGCCATCCACAGGCGACCGCAACTGCAAGACAACGACACCGACCCCCCTGGCCTGGTCCACAGCTCACGAAAGAAAGGAATGCGGCTAAGGCAGTGTTTTGACTATATTATATACAGTCGAACCTGCCCTGACGGCCACCTCTATAAGACGGCCACCTGTACAAATGGCCACTTTCCATTTCCCCCCTTGCGTTTTTTCTATATAATTTAACTGTGTGTAAAACGGGCACCTGTCCAACGCGGCCGTGGCCACCTTATTTCAACACACAACCCCTATCACACTAAGCAATATATAATACCCGTCTAAGACAGCCACCTTAGTGACTCCATTTCGTTTAGTCATAAATTGTGCTTTGGCCCCTGGCGTTGTGGGCAAGCCGTCATAATTCAATCCCCTGTCGCTGTTGTTAGGTAGTCCCTCCAACCGATCATGTTGCGTAGGCCCCTCCTACTGTTGACCAATAGCTACCAATTTTCAGCTGCTGGTGAGGTAAGCGTGTGATCCCTCATAACCCATAAGCCCCGCCCAGAACTTAAACACAAATCGTAAGCGAGATGAGTGGTCACTGTTTACCCAGTCTGTAACAAAGTAACAAAGTAACAAAGGACGTCAACATGAATCAACATGAATCAACATGAACTTGTGACAGAAACGTCGCTCGTTCTCCGAGTGGTGGCAACCCAGGAGTTTGTTTTTTACTTCGCACTCGGTCTTCCTTGTCTGATACATTTCATTTTATTGTCACCCTTTTGCGAAATCAGCAACAAAATAAAAATTACAAACAAAATACAAACAACCACCACCAACAACAACAAAAACAACAATGCGGCTACTTTCGATTGGGACCTCTCTGATAGGAATAATTTGTTTTCTTCTTCTTGATCAGTCCTGCCTAAGACGGCCACCTGTCTTATACGGCCACTTTTCTCCTTGACAATGGGTGGCCGTCTTACACAGGTTTGACTGTATATATGCACAAAAAAAAGGTTGTGGAGATGGTGGGGCGGGCCTGGGGAAGTAAGATGGAGAAAGAAAAAGGGGGCTTTTTTGGTTGTTCCCACTCCCCTTATTTGAGCCTAGATCTACATCTAGATCTTTACGTTTGATGCGCGGCGAGCTAAGATATCAAAACTAACAACTGCAAAACATCAAATTATGGTAAAATCAGGGGGCATGAAACCCCCCCACCTTATTTTTATTAGGTCAGGGGGGACAAGCCCCCCTGAAACCCCCCTACTCTTGGGGCCAAAACCCGCGAATATAACAATTGCGGGGTGGGAACTACCGAAAAAGCGCCAGAAAAAGTAAGAAAAAGAGAGAGGGAGAGAGAGAGAGAAAGGGGAGGGGGAGAGGGGCTGTCTTATAAGGACTGATTATGAATTTTATGTTTTGATCCCTTTGTAGTCGTGAAATGCAGTGTAATAGCCTACCAGTTGTTTCAAGTCCGAATAAAGACCTTGCTTACGGTACAACCGGTGATTGCGCACGTGCACTGGAATTTGAGTCTGAATAGCCTCTAGCGGTGGTTCCACCTTTTTACGCAGCCATTTGTTTTGTGATTTTTAGGGACCATTAAGTTAAGAAATTGAATTTGCCTTATTTTCTTATTTTTAGGCCTGTGTAACTGAGTGACCCAAATTTTCATAACTAAACTAGCAGAATGTTGGTTTTCCCTGGTGAACCCCAAGCATGATCTCATCTACTTGCTTGGTTGTGTTCCATATATTCAATTTTTTTTGTTGGTTGGGTATATGGTGGTTGGATTTTTACATATTTCCATAAATATTTTACATGAAATTCTCTCTTTCTCTCTCTCTCTCTCTCTCTCTCTCTCTCTCTCTCTCTATCTCTCTCTCTCTCTCTCTTTTCACTCACTTGCCCTTTAGTGTGCACCATAATTATCCAAAAACCAACGATCTGGAGTTGTAAGGCATCGGAAAAACATATATATAGGACCCATCCCCTTTGTCATTGAATATTTCCCTCCCCTTGCCGTCACAAATATAAGATGATCAGATATAATAATATATCATATGTGACTGCGATGAAACAAATGTCTGAGAGACAAAAGTCATGACTATAGTTTCGATTGTGCTTTTGAACCTCCCAATGTCTATTGCCAATTTGTCCCCCCAGAGAGCTGGCAGGAGAATCCGGACTTCCTGCAGTACCTGGTGGAACTCAGCTCCTATGGCGCTGATCGACTTTGTGAGTTCATGCCTCCTGTTTTGTCTGCTTAAAACAGTTTTTATGTTTACTATGTTATTTTGTTTGTTGATGCCTTTTTTAAAGGGATTTAAACCCAGATGAACATTGTCACTTGGAAGTATCCTTTCCTTCTTTTGTCAATATAATTAGAAAATAACTTTCACCCACTGTACTGATTATAAATTAATGTCAATTAATTCTTTAGAATTTCCCCATTGCTATTTTTTTTAAAGTATACATTGAGAACTAAATTTACTGTTATGTAGTGAATACTTTTTTTTATGTTTGACTTCGTGAGAAGGCAAAATCTTGGTGATTCTGCCAGAAACTTTGATTTAAAGGAGACGAAAAAAGAGGTCTACATGTGTAGGTGTACCCTGAATCTTTTTAATCATCATAAAAACTCAAGGTCAACTCAAAGGTCATCTTCATCTCTCAAACTTTCCGTGTCTCTCCCTCTGATCCTCAGCCCGGGAGCCGGAGCGGCTGGCAGAGGAGAAGAGTCAGATCTTGTCAGAGACGCAGGACCTGGCCTTTCACAACTACACCACGTTCATACAGACGGCAGACTGTTCAAAAGAGATCTTCCAGGACGTACGTGAGGGAACTAGGGGTTTATTGGAGCAGTGTGTGTGTGTGTGTGTGTGTG